TATATTTTCATATATTAACATGCTTTATTTTTCTTTTCCAATTTTAAATTTAATTATTTTTTTAAAATATAAATCTCATATGTTTGATATAAAAATTACTTATAATTTACATATTCTAAAGATAATTGAATTAATTTTATAATACTAAATTTGTATTTTCGTCCACTAACTAATGAATAACAAGAATATTTAGTTTGGGTTGAATATAAAATTAATTTTTAATTAATATATTGCTTTTATTGAATATAAAATTATTTATATTGTATTTTTATTTTATTTTGAAAAGAGTTAAAACTAAGTTAAATCAATACGTAAAATTCAGATATTGAGAAAAATTAAGATTATATTAATTATTCTGATGAAAATTTAATTTATAATATACATATATATATATATATATCAAACAAATATTTATTTTTTGTATAAAATATATAAAGAAGAAAAACATGAGATAATTTTAGCATTTTCTCAACGTTGTCGTGGTCCCAAATATATATATATGTACATATAATATTTTTCATATTTATGTTAAAAAAACAAAAAATTGCTGCATGATTTGATTTGATTAATATTATTTGCATAATATATATATATATGTGGGTGTGAAATAGAAAGTAAAGATTTGGTTGGATTTTGAGGGACACCACGAGGGGACTTCACTCATGTGGGTGGGTTTTTTGTTTTTATTCCTATTTTGGACGTATCTCAACAATCTCATCACGTGCAACAATTTCGGAACTTGAAAATTAAAAATTCGAAAATTGAAAATTAAATATTGTACTGCAACCCCCAACAGACCCAAATAATTATTTAAATTAATTAATGAATATTGTTATATATATATATATATATATAAATAAAAATAAGGATGATTGGGAAAAAAACAAGGTTAGTTGGGGCGGTGTCGTTTTGACTATAAGGTGAAATTGAAACGACGAGACCTAATTTGGATCACAAGAAGGTATATTTGGTCCGTACAGCTTCCCACTTTCTGGGTGGACGACAACGCACGTTCTTTCCCCCCTTTCTTTATCGTTTCTTCTACTCCCAATTAACCACCACCAAGTAACTTTTTTTTAATAAAATAATAATAATTAAAACAAAAAATTACAGATGGTAGAAAACAAAAATTACAGATGGTAAAAAAAAATTACCGGGTAGTAAATAGTACGAATCAAAGTAGTAAATCACATAGTTGTTTGGATTTTAGAAAAGCTTATGAGATAATTTTCTCAATAAGGCTTGTGTAGGACACCCGAAATTCTCTTTTTTAAAAAAATAAATAAAAATTGATGATTCTACAATCTTCTGCTTTTATTTTATATAAAAATATTTAATCGTTATGTGTTATCATATTCGTAGAGGTGCAGAACTAAAAAAAACATAAATTTAATGCAGAAATAATTAATAGAGTTAATATTTACATTCTTTACATAATAATTTTAAACGTCTAATAGAATTATGAGAATGTTCATTCTAAAAAAATAAATAAAAATTAAAAAAATAAAACAAAAAGCGAATAATTAAACATCTTACAATAACCTTCACTAGCACTTGAAGGAAGTTCGGATAGCGAACTTGTAATATCTGGGTCCGAAATTTGGTCTAAAATTAATTTTTTTAAAAAATAATAATAATAATAATAAATATATTTAAATATAATTTTTATTTAATATAAAAATTAGAAAAAAATAGGTGGATGATGAAATTGAAAATAATTTTAAGAAAAATGGGTGAAAATTTGGGATTGGATGATATTTCTGAAAGAAAAACGAAAACTGGAGGTCAAAATATAATTTAAGAAAAATGTGTTACGTAGGACCGCTCAGTTAGCAGCCCTGACAAACCAGAGTGCGTTGCGTGGCAAGGCACGTTGACTCGGTGCAACGCGGGAGGCCACGATGGCAATCCACGTGCCCACAATCGGACGGTCCAGA